GGTGTCTTCTCGAACCGCTCCCAATTTGATTCGACTTGTGGGTACCCAGGTGAAGGCCCTGAAGACTTGTGGACCTTGTTCTCTCATAATACAGGCTCTCTTCGTACCACAATGCAGTGGCAAGCTTCCAGAGACTCGGTTCTTTGTATCCAAGAGCCACGTATTGGGCGTAACAACTTCAGGGATGCCTCGTTCCGTGTCCAAGCCACTGGTTGAAACCTGTTTTCATCCAAGCTCTTACCAGGGTTGATCACCACCCATGGGGTCTCGAGGACCCCTCATGGAGGGTCGGCTATTCTTGCTCCCCCCTGAGACCACTCAAGCATTTGACCCCAGCCAGGACATCACCGGTCAATACCAAGCTCTTTTTAACACCACGCGTGTTACTGCAGTTTGGCATCAAGTCACCAAACACGTTCGGGCACTCATTTGGTCTTTCTACGGGAAAACGGGGGCCTCATCCGAACAAGAGCCACATGTGTGGAACGATAACATCTTGTCTAAGATCTTCGAAATCTCCGCACAGTACGGAGACATTCCGGTCTTGGTGTCGGGAGACTTTCAAGCCGAGCCGATGTCTTACCCGTCGATTGTAAGTGCCATTCAGTTTGCCAAATGGGAAGATCCGTTCCTCTCGTACGATGCAGATGGTCTTCCATCGAGGGACTTGACATTTTCTTCAGACAGATCCTTTTCTGGACAGGAGGGTTGCTCCAGTATTGACTCCATCCTCATCAACCACGTCACTAGTGCAGCGTTGGTCAGAGTTGAAACCGTCTCCACGTTCGAAACGCAACACCGTCCTCTCCGAATTACCTGTTCATGGCCAAAGATCTTCATTTCAGGTTTCGTTCATTATAAGACTGCCCCATTGAACGTTGCTTCCGGTCAGATAGATCTTGATCATTCCAGGTTTTCATCACAACATGCCGAATCTCTGTGGACGGACTCTTTTGCGCAGGCCTTTGATCAAGCTGACGATGTGGATCATCGATGGCACATCGCCAATGACTTTTGCATCTCGTTCCTTCTACAGAATGGCGCTGTTTGGGGAAAGGGTCCCAAAGAGAGAGGTGCTCCCCCAAAATTTCGTTCGAAGAGGGTCTGTCCGGGGCAGAACTTGTTTGGAGGCTCTTCCAAGTCTCGCATGTCTCGTTACTGCCGTGCCTATCGGGGCCTCCAGGAGCTTTGCTTGCGACTGTCTCGAGCGCAAAGAGGTTTTGCTGACTCCCAGGTCACCTTTAATACCTGTTGCAAGATTCGTAGGCTTCTTGTAGACTTAAAAGCCCCCTCTGTCTGGGAGAGTGGGTCTTTTCCATCCTTGCTTCAGGTTTGGACGAATCTGTCATGGGTTGGGGATGCGGCGCGCACTTTCGATGTCAAGATTAAATTAGCCCGCATTCAAGCTTGGAAGTCCAAAATTCAAGAAGACGCTCGGTCGGATAAAAAGTTCATTTTTAAACATTTGCGTAACCGTGCATGTGAAGAACCAGCCAACCTGCTTCAGGATCCTGATGGCAACATCATCACTGATCCCAGACAAGCCATTCGGACATTTAATGAAGCTTGGGATGACGTTTTTGCATGTAACATTCAAGCGGACCACCCTCTTAAAATGCTCGACATCATTTGGCCTTACATTCGTGACCATGAGTTGCGGTTTGAGAGTCAGCCGATTGATGCACAATGCTTGTGGCACATCATCCAATCCCGAAATCCTCATGCCGCCCCAGGACTTGATGGATGGCGGACTGGTGAGCTACAATTGATGCCGGCTGAATGCTTTCGGCCTTTCGCCTCCGTTTTTGCCGCACTCGAAGTGTCAGATGACCCTTTGCCTCCCACCCTCACGTGCGCCCGTCAGATGATCCTCAACAAAAATGGATCTTCTCACCCTATGCAGAAGCGGTTGATCACGGTGTTGCCGATTTTATATCTGGCATACTCGGGTGCCCGGTTTCGCCAACTAAGAGGTTGGCAAATCAATGCCATGCCTTGCCAGCTTGTCGGAGGGGTGCAAGGTAGGAACATGTCAAGCATCCAGATGCAGATGAAACTCGACATTGACATTGCCAATGCCCAGGATTATGACCTAATAGGCATGAAACTCGACAAAGCTAAATGTTTTGACCGAGTGATACCCTCTTTTGCCTCCTGCCTCATGTTGGCTTTTGGAATAGATAAGAAAATTGTCACAATCTTCAGCAAACTGTATGATGGCCTTCATCGCCACCTTTCCTACAAGGGCTGGTGCTCTCCGTCGGCTACCCATGCTGCCAACGGCATAGCCCAGGGAGACAGTTTCTCGCTTGTAGCAATCAATGTCTACTCCAAGGTTTGGATTGTTTTCATGGACCTGTTGCCAGAAGTTGTTGCCATGGCCTATATTGACGACGCCTATTTGTGGGCCAGATTGGAGCATGCAAGCAAGCTTGCACATGCCGTCGAGATCACTCGCTTTTGGGATCTTTTGTCAGGTCAGCTACTGAATGACAATAAATGTGTAGTTTGGGGCACCTCCACCAAAGCCCGCAAGACTTGTAAACAACTTTGGCCTAACATGTCCCTTCAGCTTGAGGTTGAGGTTCTGGGGGCGTTTGTCACTACCTCCAAACGCCAGGCTTTTCACTTTGAAGACTTGAAGACACAAGCCATTGTTAAAGAAATTAAACACATTCGGGCTCTTCCGGTTCCGGTGAAAGTGAAAACCTTTTTCCTTGGGGTGAAAGTGATTCCACGTTTCTGCTATGCTGCCTCCCTCAATCAGATTCCTAAAGATGTCTCGAAGAAGTTTCAATCTGAAATTGTGCACACTCTCTGGGGACGGCGACCACACTGGAGGTCCCGTGCCCTAGTCCTGGCTTTCCTTTCGGATCCACACCGCAATGATCCTGTGTGTGCGCAAGCGTATCATGCAATAATGGAATTCCTGAGGTTTTTGAGGATGCCCGGAAATGGGCGTGAGAAATGTCTTTGGGCGGCGACACATTGCACGGTAGAACAGGCTCTGTTGACCAAGATTAAGGATGCCTTCCGCTTCTTTGGCCTGTCTTTGTCACATGACCTTGTTCTTTCCTTTGGGGGTAAACCTCTCATGCCTGCTTGGGATCTCCACCCGAAGGATATCAAGTTGTTGCTGCATCGGCTATCGAGACACCGTTGTTACCTTGAGGCAGCAAATCAGCACCGCAAGGACTTCCGCATGCCTTCCGGCATCCTTGATTTTGACCTCACGTGTGGGCTTCGTGACAAGTCCACCATCCAGCATGAGTCCAAAGCCGTAGTTGAGAGCCATTTTGTTGCCCAATTAGTGGGCTGCACTTTGACACGTGACCGTCTGTGTGCAGCAAATTTGGACGATTCAGACAAGTGCCGGTTTTGTGGGAGTGTGAAAGAATCGTTAGCCCACGTCGTTCTGGAGTGTGAAGCATACCATGCCCTACATCCCCCTGAACCTGTTCACGAGTTAGGTGCAAATTTTGGGCTTCTGGGCATTGTTGAACACCCTGTTGGTATTGTGAAACACAGACTGCAATGGAACAACCCCGAAGACATTCTTGCTGAGACTTTCAATCCCTCAGCTCCCCGGGTCAGCTGGTGGTCTGATGGCTCAGTTTTTTGGCCAGATGTTTTCTGGCTTTCGGCTGGAGGCTTTTCTATTGTCAACGAAAGCAGCCAAGAACTTTTTGGTGGCCCTGTTTATCATCTTCATCTTTCTTCGTACACTACTGAGCTTTGGGCTATTGTTGTTGCAATTCATAAATGCGCTACTCCAACCGAAGTGTTCACTGATTGCCAGACAATTGTTGACCAATTTTCGGTCTTGCAGTCAGATGGTGCACCACATGCCTCATGGTCCCATTTCTCATGGTGGCTTGCAATCAGCAACAGATTCCAATTTTTGTCGTGTCTTCACCCTGAACCCTTTGCGGTGTCATGGGTCCCTTCTCATTTATATGAACACCTTCCTGAGTGTTTCATCACCCAGGCCATGGTTGAAGCAAAGAAGACGGAAATTCGTCATATCATTGGAAATCGGTTCGCTGACAAGTTTGCTAAGGAGCATGCCTTGCAGGCCACGAGTGTACACCCTTCAGATGAACAGATGTTAAAACAGAGCATCGTTCGAAGACAGGATTGGCTAACAACGCTGAACCTTGAGATTGCAGCGCTTCAGAGACTTGATCAAGATAGCAAACAGGAAGCCCGCTTTGCTGAAGAGGAGGCTTCTGAAGATGTTTTTTACCCTCTTCCCTCATTGGGAGTGGGAACCACAAGTTCATCATTTTCCATGGACACCCACGTTTGTGTTCAATCCTGATGATGTTCCACCACAATGGGCTTCAAAAACCAGTGATTGGAAAGTTTTGGGGGCCTTTTTCTCAGGCCAACGATGGCGGATTTCTGAGGATGCAGTCACCTCCTACGTGGAGTTGGCTGTGTTGTTCCACCTGCAAGGATTCCAACTTCCATCGCAGGATTCTTCGATCCATACTTTTAGGGATCTGACAGCTGAGGTCCGCCAATTTGTGGCACGCATCCGTGTTGACTCAGGTACTTCATTTGTGCCGGGTTGCCATAATAGACACCGGAACAAAAGCATCGGCAAATCTCTGCCTAATGGGACCATTGATGGAGCCGAGATTTATCTCACTCGTGAATACAAGATTCGTTTTGCACGAATATTAGCTGGAGTTTCGACCGCCCGACTTCAAGCATGGGCTTTCTCCTTGGACAGCGCTGAGGGTTAATTCGGGGTTCACATATGAAAGCATATGTGTGATGGATACTTGGCAGAATGCCTAGTATGCCAGACGAGACTTTTCTCGCCGCGTCAGGAAGAACAGGATGGACTACCAGGGAGGTCCACCTACCAGGCTCAGGGTGAGTCCCGGGTTTGGAGCCACAGAACCCTTCTGGGAACCCTTCTGCCATCGCATTGGACGTCGGACGTCGTGTCTTCACCAACATCCAACGCCCGCAGGATTTGGCCCAGCTTCGCATGGTAGGTGTATTGCAAGAAACGCATGATCCGCTCGGATAATCCAGGATCCACCTGCAAGACCGGTGGCGAGAACGATGACATGGCAGGGTTTGATCTGTGTTTTCTGTGTTTTACGAAAAAAACCGTCACCCACCATCAACATCCATCAACATGACATGGATTGACATGGTATGTTTGTGATTTTTGGCTGTTTGCTGCATGTGGCTGCACGCGACCAAGTGTTGCCAATGATGGTTTGATCTGTGCCTTTTGAAGCATGGGAACATTACCTCATCAACCAGAATCTCTCACGTTCTTTCACAATCTGTTAAGAGCTGCCACTCGTCTGAGTCACAGCACTCCATTTCGTACCACATGAAGTCCACACTCCAGTCCACCTCGCGGATATCCTCCAAACCAGCTCCCACTCGACCACCACATCCCCGCACCTCCAAACTCTGCCCCCCCCCTTTTCCCCCTCTCGCCCGGGGTCCCTGCACCCGAGTTTCGCGCGAACTCTCGCACCGGCGGAAGTCTCGCCGTGGATTCCACGGCCTGGTTCTGCCGCAGGAAGCGGCGGAGCATCCCCAGCTGCTGCGTCTCCTCCGAGCGGCTCCGGTGCAAGGCTCCGACCAGTGACGTCATGGAGCTGATGACGCTGCTGCTGGTCACCTCGGCGAACAGAGCAGAGCAGGGGTAGACGGTATAGGAGCGTGCAGGAACACTCTTGGTCTTGGGAGCTCTTTTTTAGGTGCATGAAGTCGTGCCTCTGGACGTTGAACAACCCGTAACCCAGGTTTCCTCCGGTGAGGCCGTCGGATGTGACTGAACATGAGGTCCCGGGCCCGGCCGCCACCGTTGGCCCGAACTGCTGAGCTGAAGTGGCGCCAAGGAGCCAAAGAGACAAAGCCCACAAAGTTGGAGTACATGCCTTCGGTTTCCTCGAAGGACCAGAAACACCAACGGGGTGAAAATTGAATGGACACCCCGAATCACCTCTGACATAAGAGAGGCTATTTCTATATAGAAACCCCTTACCTGTAGGGGATCCTGATGTCCACCATTCACGTCGAGTTGCACCGATTGCTCCCCCACAAGCATGCGCTGTCAGGGATGAAGGATTTCAGCGGCAAGATATGAATGAAAGAATGCACTTTCTCTACTTCCTTCATGATCAGCGGTTCGGTCCGTTGGATACCCTGATTTGCATGGTTTCTGTGTGGTCATATACGGTCATCTCCTAAATGCTAGCTCAAGTGTCGGTGCATGAAACATCAAACATCTGAAAAAGGATGTTTGAGAAGTGAAAGCAAGCACGTGAAGTACGAGCCGGACCCCAAGACATCCAAAGCATCTCCTAACTGTTTGTGTGTGTTTTTTTTTAATTATGACAGCACGCGTCACACGGCCAGGAACCTCATCTTCTCAAACAACCCTTTAGTACCAGTTTTGCAGTTCGCCCCCCTTGGGGCTTTTGGAGCATTTTTTTGGGTGATCAAACAGGATGAAGTTCAAGCCACCTTGCGAAGTGTTGAATTCGAGCTCCAAAAGTTGGAGAAAAGCAAAAAAGAAGAAGCACAACCAAAAGGTCGAACCATCAGCATCAAAGTAGGCCCCATCAAAAGCCTTGAACCCCCCATCCATCTCCATCTTCCCCATCGTCCCCATCAAAAGCCTTGAACTCCATCCCCATCCATCCCCATCTACTTCTTCATCCATCCCTTGCCACTCCCGAAGCGAAGCGACGCCCGCCGGGCGAACGCGGAACCGCGAACCGCGGAACCCACCGAGGCTCGTTGATGGCCTCGATGGCCGTGGCTCCGAAGCCCAGCTGGGCCAAAGCCCAGCGAACGCAGGCATAGTACTTCACCCAGAAGGACGAGTCCTGGACGGGTTGGAAGGAGGATGAGGATGGATGACTCAGAGAGATGACTGGGGAGATGACTCGGGTTGGAAGGAGGATGAGGATGGAGATGACTCACAGAGATGATGAGTGGGCGAAAAATTGGGGGAAGAATTCTTGTGGAGCTATACGTAGCTATATACTGAAAAGAGTAGATTCTGGATGATTCTGGATTCATGATCATGACCACCTCCCCCAATTTGGATGGTAAAGAAACAACGCTTTCAAGTTGGGGGAGTTTGATGAGATGGGAGAGAACGGGATTGGAATAGGATGAGATGAGTACAGGTTCGGTGGGCACCGTGCCGCCGCAGAATCGTGAGTGAGCTGGGAAATCGAGCTGGATCGCACGTTTTGTGGCCAAGAACTGCACCTATGGCTGCATCAGGATCTGGTTCTCAGAACCCACGTTCACGTTGATGAGCAAATTCACGCCAGGAGTGGTTTAGGGTTTACAGTAGGGGGTCAATGGGGCGGCATATCTATTAAATATAATTCATAGAGCCTGAGTGGCCTCCCAAAGCTCTTTTCCACAGAGGTCACTCCCGGTCCATGGAGTGTCTGGGTGTCGTCTCCAGCGGTTCCACAGCGCACCAAACACATGTCTCGTCCGTCCTTCAAGGCGTTCTGCGTGAGCCACGTCTCCCCCGGGTCGTCGCCCAAACCGAACCAAACGCCTGGACCGGGTTCCCCGCGCGGTGGGGACTCCGCGGGTTCCCCGCGCGGGTTCCAACCGCGGGTTACCCGGTGAGGTGACGGTTTTGGGGACGCGAACCGCGGACGCTGAAGCGTAGGGGAGCCCGTTCATGTGAACAATCACCGGCAGAGACCTGAGCTCTACTTGGAGATCTGGAACGGACACTCCCCGATTTTTCATGGACAAGTGGACTACATGCCCCCGAGCGGATCACCATGTTTCTCTACAAACAGGTGGTGCCGTCCACTTCCATGATTACAAGAATGGCCTGAAAGGGAATATCCTTTACTGAGACAAAGTATAGTCAAACTGGACTTCTGCGTATATGTTAAGACAATTAAGGTCAATTAAGTCTCTACTTCCGGACGCAGCAAGATGGCTTCCACCAGAGACACAGGTGGGTACACTCCTTGAAATAATCATGGAAGTGGATGGCACCACCTGTTTGGTAGAGGAGAATGGTCATCCAAGGGGCAAGTTTCCACTTCCATGATTGTTTCAGGGAGTGTGGCTTGATGTAGCTTGCAAGATTACGAGTCCATGTTTCTTTGAGATATGATATCGTCTTCAGCGAGGTGAATGGAATTTCCTTTTCCAAGAGCCATATCACGACCCCAGAGGAGGTGAATCTGGACCATCAAACTACTGGCAATCTTCAAACTTCTTTGAAGAAGAAAGGACAAACCCGAGCTATGGTATGATGAACTGCATGCAAAATTCAGAAGTTCGTCCATATATTCTTATGTGTGCTGTAATTATATGTCAGCAGGCAAAAACTGTTCATCTACCATCATCATTGGTAATGTTGCATCTACCATCATCCACCTCATATCCCTGGAGGGGGGAGGGTCGGGTCGGAGGATGTCGGGAAGGTCAGTTCAATCGAAAGAAGGAGACGCATGAGCCGCTATGGGTGGGATATCTCCTATGGATGATGGTTAGGTGAAACGGCCCTTTCCAGCTCTAACATCGCGATGTGCATGCTTTTCCCTTCCGGCAAAAAAACTGGGCAAAACAGGGACAGAATTCAAAGTAAACACAACTAACTCCTGTAGGGACCACGAACTCCCAAGACTGCCGAACATAACAAGAAAAGAAAAGAACACGACATCGCTTCGGAGTCTTCCATGCAAGTCACAGGCAATCACGTGCTCCACCAGGATCATGGCCAACATCACCTCACGGGATGGGCCGAGGAAACCGGCTTTTCGCCACCAGGTGGGTGGGAAGGGCTGGCAGTGAGCTTGTCCAAATGTGAATTGTTGCTAGTAGCGATGCCCTCTGTTACTAGTAGCTTCTTGTTCCTAGTAGTAGGAATGCTCCTAGTAGTAAGGCCAGGAGCCCTTAGTAGCGTCCGTGCTCCTAGGGCTTGCCACAGAAGTCGTCAAGTCGCACCGCAATAGCTCCGGTCGTCCACTGTGCACGACGAGTCCGTCGCAGGTGCGCAGCTCTCGAGTCCAAGGGGCCAGCGCCAGGCTAAATTGGATTGAAGCCACCTCAGACTCGAACTGGTCCTGGCGCGATACTGTTGGACGTACCATGTGAGATATTTCCCACCATAGAAAGCTATACTGTTGCTGGTCGGGGGCGTACTGGGCGTGTTTTATCACCATCTCTCTGGAGCACAGGAGCCACTTCTTCGTCCTGAAAAAACTGGGTCGCGGCACCGAGTCCCATGAAAGCCAGGATCAATGAATCAAACATAATCAAACCATCAAGAGCAAGAAAGAGGAATTACACCACTGGACCCCAAACAGTTTGTGTTTTTCAAAATCGGAACACTGCAACTAGAGTTTGCGATCGTCCAGGGCTGGGAGGCAAAGGATTGCAAGGCAGAGGTTGGCACCACGCGGCAAGAAGGGAGACAGAAGGGAGACAAGGCGGACACAATGACCAACAAGAAGGGAAAGGGTGACAAGAAATGACGTGCAGGCACTGAACCTGGGAGACAAATGAATAGAAATGCTGCGTGGGCAGCGGAAAAGGGCGGACACCAGCAGTGACAGAAAGGGTGGACACATCTTAAGAAAGAATTGAGAACTCCTATATAACAGTAGACTGTTTGGGGGATAATAGTATCTGTAATAGGCATAATTACACCATATCTTCCGAATCTGATGTTGTTCCCCTTTTGATTTAAGGTTCGATGTCATGCATAGATCAATCAACATCTACCTTCCCCAGGATCCCGGACCCAACAACAAATCGGGGGTGGAAAACCCACCCCAAACCCGCACAACGAGCACCACGGAAGGAGCCCGCATCAGCGCACAACGAGCACCACTTTGAGCCGGAATCCCCAATCGGACCAGACACGGTGCACGATGGAATCCATCCATAAACCGATCGATGCACGCGACGCGGTCCGCGACGCGGTCCTGCAGGAAAGCAGAAACGCGACTCACCTTGCCCAATCGTAGCATCCGGAAGAGCCGGAGGAATCCTCGGGCGGTGCTGGTGGCAGTGCGACCTTTTTTGTTGGAGTTTGGATGGAGGGAGAGGGGGCAATTGTTTCGAACAATGCTGGGGTTGCAGGTTGCTTTATAAGACTTTATATATACGATTATAAGCCTTCTGAAGACCTTTTTGAAGGATACGGATAAAATTCCGCCATTCTCCCTCATGATGCCAAAAATCCCAAGTCTGGAACATGATCGCTTTCGCGTGCACTGTTAGTGGCAGTTCTGGGATTCCTTGGTTTCTAGAAGATGCAAATGAGTTGTGCAAAACTTGGGCAGCACCCACTATACAAGTTCCAAATCTATCACTCCGACATACCAACCAACTCTTCATATAGGATGCTAAAACTATAGCTATAGCTAACTAGCAGCGTGTATTTCGCAGTCCAACACACCGCCATCGCCTTCACTCCATTTGAGCGTGCTCTGCTATCGTGTCCACGTCCAACATCAAACTGATGCCACGGTGCGCAAGAAGCGAGTGGCCGTAGCACTCTCCCCAATGCTCGAGGAGAAGTTTCCGAACTCCAACAGCAAATCTGTCAAGCCTCAAATCGATGAGAGGTCTCGTGGTCTTTCCCAGACCGTATGGCATACGTTTTGCATAAATATGTGTTGACCTCAGGTTAACCACCTCAATGTAATTAAATATGCCACATGGAGTGTCTGGGTCAGGGTTGTGCTTGCATATTAACATAATATAAGATGTCAGCCATCGATGGGATTTGGAAACGACAACATCGCTTAAATCCGACATCGATTGCGACTACGATCTTCCTGTCATGTTCATTCTCAAATGCCCTTTGGTACCTACTGTAGCACTTCCACCGGGTGCCCGAAGTATAGGAGACCTGTAAGTATAGGGTAGCGTAGTCTAGCCCGCCAGGACACCCATGTCCAGGATGACCCTGGTAGGCTTAGTTTCAATTCGGGGAGACCTCCCAGGTCGAACTGGAAGAAGGGGAAGGTCGAACAACACCCTTTTGGGCCAGGGGGGTCTCCTGTTAGACTACATCAATCATGTTATTTCAGGTGAATCAAGAATGCAAAGCTCACTTTCTGGACAGTTCTGCCTATTTGTGCTCCCCAGGTGCAGGTCAATGTCACAGCAGCTGCGGCCATTGTGCCAAACATATCATCTATAAGTCTATAAGTATATCTAAGTCATGCTCAGCATGTGCCAAACAATGCTAGACAAATCATATGCATCGCTTCACGCATCGCTCGCTCCCAAACGAGCTCCCACCGATGGACTCCATCCACCCGAATCGACCGATCCAAAAACGGATGTCCCAGCCACTCACAGCCAGGTCGATCAAGAACCAGGTCTTCAGGTAATGCCAAGCGATGCTTTTGAAGTCCGAGACTAAAGTGCCTTTATCCAAATATCCCGTGAAGAAACTGAAGAAAATGTCCTGGCCGCGCAGAACGCCGCGCCGGCGCGGTCGTGTGCGAGGAATTTCGGTGTCGCGACCAAGACGCCTCAGCGGATAGCAACACTGCAGGTGTGAGCAGCTGCTCTGACCGCTTTTTGGATTGTTTTCTTCTTGTTTTCTGCTCAGGACACAGAAAAAGAACTTCGCTGCATGTCGATCCGACTGCTTGGTCCATGACACTTACGTAAGATATTGGTTACATGATACATTGATGTTACATGGATGGCCTGGCCCCAACAGGAAGACCAGATTCCGCAAACAGGGGGTGCCATCCACGTAACCATGTGAGTTCCAGGGAGGGTAACATAGAGTAACTCTACATAACTCTGCTTGTTGGAAGCGGCTGTACTTGCAACTGTGGTGTACCTCTTGTCCAAGGATTTGACACAAAGAGCAAATCACTCAATCTCCATTTTCTGAAAGAATATGGAAGTGGACATACGTGGACCATGACCACTGGTTTGGCATTCAGATGGCATGGTCATCCTTTTGTCAAGGGTTTATGCCACCCCTCCCGGAATTGGTTTAAGGTAAAATCTCCGGGAAAGCCACAGTTTTAGGGGTGAAAACCACGGTTTCCTGCAGATCTTCCCTTAAACTTAAACCAATTCATCGAATCCCACTTCCACCACGATCCTTTCGCCGATCGCCGGCGATGGGAACGGTCGCTTGCCACCGTCGCTGCAAACTCGGAGGTTCTGGTCGAGCGTTCGGACGTTTTGGGACACCACATCCGAAGCCAAGTGTCAAAACACCAATAGATCACAGAGAATTTGGTAATCCCATCCTCAGTGAAGAGCACGAGTTGGAGATGTGAACGAGCTCGAAAAATGCTACTAGCACCCCATGAGGAATGCCCCAAAGAAATGACGTTTCTCGGCTGGTCGTACTGGTGACGTTTCGGAGGTCCATCTTCGCAAACTCAGGTGGACACAAAGTAAGAACAAATAGGAAAAGATAGGAAAAGTACATACACTGTGAGTGAGTTAGCGCAAAAGCCTGCGAGGAGCTTGCTCCCCTTAAATGATCTATTCCACCGACGTCGCCAATCCACAGCTACTTACGCTCTGTCTGACAGTCGAAAGGATGCGACTGAAGAACAAAGGGACACGCTTTTCTCTGCCAGGTGAGGGTGAGATTTGATTATTCGAAGTGGGGATAACGAAACGAAAGTACCCTGTCCACGCCTTCTTTCTTCAGCTTGCAAGTCATGCCGCCGGAGTCCCATGTCGATTCGGCGTCGATGCGTCGACTTCTTCAGCTTGGAGTCCCAAGGAGGAAAAATGGATGAGACGTCCACATCCACTAATTGCAAGGGGATGCCAATGGTGTCCTATCGTACGTGGCTGTCCACGTGCGCGGGTTTATGTGCGCACACGAGCGAGCGAGCTCGGCAAACCGAGAAGCCATCCTTGTCTTCTACAGGTTCTACTGCCATATCAGCTACGGAAGACTAGCTGAATATGAAGTTTCAGGGGTGTCTCAGTGAACTTCAACATTCGGTCCTCACCTCATATGCACTTCTTGACTTGTCAGCACTGGTGGTTCGCAATGGTCCATGGCCCTTCAGTGGTCACATCCTAATTCCAAGGACGAGCCCAGTCAGTCTCCTTTTTGCTGCCCAATTCTCATCTTGATTAACTCAAAATGTGATCAGACACTCTTCCTTGTGGCACTTCCTACAGAGGAATGGGAGTGGAATCTATTGCCCTACATTGACCCCAACATCAACCACCCCAACTGATGAGTCATGGGGGGGCCTATAATCATCCAACTGGTTTGGATTTGCTGTGTAGGAACCCGGAAAAACAAGAAGGCGATGAATCCTCAGAAGAAGAAGGAGCTACTAGTTGCGTCCTTGCTCCTAGTAGCGATGCCCTTTGTCATTAGTAGCTTCTTGTTATTAGTAGTAAGGCCTGGTATCGTTTTTCAGGGTTCCCATCGTTTTACACAGAGAACACATGTTTACACATTCCACGGCGACTTATGTATACAGAACTCTTCATCGCATGTTTTGACCCTTGCACACATGGGGAAAAAACAACAAGGATGGTTCGTGCTCATGGGTTCAGCGACCGAATCAAATGGCTCCTTCAAGAGGATTAGCATGCCCAGGAAATCCCAGAAGCTTCCTCAGCAGCTCAACCCGTGCACACGGAGGAACCCGCACACACGGAGTTCCACTAGGCGCCGCGGAGAGCGGAGGTCACAACCCGGCTCAGTTGGCGAGCTCAGTTCGTTGCGTAAGCGCACCACATGACATCAATATCCAGACACGACTAATGGGACTGCCATATATGCCCATCAATTGACCCCTCAAACCACCCCCATGTAGGTAAATATGCCAGTCCCATGGAGTGTCTGGGATATCAATATCATGGGACTCAAGGTCACCAGTGGTGCCACCCGATGGGCCACGATTTCGGTGCGGATGGTGAACTCCGAGTCCAACTCCACGGCGAATCCAATTTGAAGGTCAGAACCAAGAACGATACGAAAGCTCTCAGACGGGGAATACGTGGATCTTCCAATGAACTATGCATGATAGGTTTCGTGGCCTCATCCATAAAACCAGCCAAGTTCGGCGGACACTTTACGTCGCGGAAGATCTAGATCTGCATACCCCGAAGCACGGCCCCCCAAGATTCCCTCGAGCAAGGAGGATCTGTCGAACACTGCGCACTGCACGAACAAGGCGAGCCCATTGTGTATGTTGGCAAATGATTGCAAATGGTGTTGTTCAACGATATATAATATTGATGCGCCTGTGATCTTCACAGCCTGTCAAAAAGAACTGGATGACGCTACCTACTTGAGCTTTTCGGTTGTCCTGGCTCACCCCAGAAACCTAAATTGGTCCTCACTCACTTGTCTTTTTCCATGACACATCTCCCACTTTGGGCTGTGAGTCAACCCTACCCGTCAAACGCACGGTGATAGACGGTGATGTCGATAGGTTCAGTCCAGCGTCGGAAGTTTCCTGTGGGGTTTAACACAATCATCCTCGGCCAATACCAAGGCCTCTTCTTTGCTGCCTCCTGCGGTCGACGGCCGTCGGCCGATGATCTTTTTGGAGACACTCCGCTTTCGCCCTCGCATTGCTCCCTCATGAAAATCAAGGTTCCCAGCGTTGAAAGAAGCAAAAGGATCGCACTGCGATGCCTACTATACGATGTCATATATTAGAGCCCTTCCCAAGTAGTGATGCCGCAAGCTATCTCACCGTTTCTCCGGCTGCCTGGTGAGTCTCCCCTCTTCCCTTCCCCCTCATCGTCCCCTCTCACGCAGCGGGTCGATGGTCGACTACCCCTCCTGTGTGACCGCCGTCAGCGGCAAGGACTGCGAGAAGTCGCCGGTCAAGGAGACTCGACTCTTGCGACGGGTGCCCAAGGATTTGCTCTTGTTGATCCAACACCTGAACGGACCAGAGACGGAGCTTCTACTTACTCGCTTCTTCTTGTCGTTACTACGTACGTAAGGCACTTGTTACTATAGTATAGCGATGCACTTGTTACTACTAGTAAGGCACTTGTTACGTTCGTAGTAAGGCACTTGTTACTATAGTAGCGATGCACTTGTTCCTATAGTAGCTTCTTGTTTCTAATACTCCTGTCCGTCCACAGGAAGTCTTCAGACCGAAAGCACGAAGACCGCAACGACGGTGAAGACGACGCACGCACGACGCGCTGGGCGGACCGCTGGGGTGTGGGTGCCGCCGAGATCGTGCGGAGTGCCGGCTTTGGTTCAGTGGCAGGGTGTTTAGGGTTTAGGGCTTCTGAATATATCAAAGGTGTTTCTGGATCTTTGTGTGAAGAAGCATTTGATGTTGGGCACTTGTGGGTTATCATTACTTGGAGACTTTTGGCTCGACCAATCGATAATGAACTGCAATATGAACACCCGGATCCGGGAAGAAGAGTGCCACTGATGATCATCTGATCATAGTCTGGTAGGCCTTGCTATAAGGACCTCTGGCAACCTGGCAATCTGTGGCAGAGACACCCGGAATAGCCTGCCCTGCCCGACTCTGGCGGAACGCGCTCCCTAAGACGACGAATGCCGGACACGTTCGAAAACATCGTCTCCAAGCCACAAGCGAGGAACGAAAACATGATCGTCCTTGGGAACAACCCGCGGCGTGGGTTCCATCGCGGGGAATTCGGCCGCGATTTCTTCGCGGTGAAGTCGACATCGGCGTGGAGTGGTTCGGCGACATGGAGTTTGGCAAGAAGGAACTCTCAGTCATTCATGTGGGAGGGAGCCGGATTGGAACAGAATCGTGTTTGGCTACGGAGTTGACACCATTGACCCTTCTGGCCTGGTGTCTTCTGGAACACCCCAGAAGGTTGGGAAGCATCATGATCCCATTGGCAAGAAGCCTCCAAATGGCTGGTTTTCTGACATGAACTACATGGTGAACAGCAGCTCCAAACAAACACATCATCACATCATGGAAAATCACAAGCCAAGCCAAGCCCAGCCCGAGCCTCACAAGCTGCCATGCGTCCTTTAGGTTTCATCTTCTCAAGAGTCTACGGAGATCCCTCCCGTTCTGCGGAACCTCCTCCCAAAAAAAAACTGAAGCACCTACCCAGACGCTGCTTACTTCGTTCACAGCCCTTTCCCCTTCGTCAACCAAACGCGGATTGCTGAGAAACCCCGTCCGACTGGATCCCCAGACCCATCCGGAAGAAGGGTCGCCTTTTCCACCTCCACCCACCCCACGGTCGAGTAGAACCTCCGGACGCGGCCACCGAGGTCCGACCGAGGTCCGGGCTCGACCAAACCGGCCGAGCTCCGGTCGGCCGAGCGAACGGGGGGCGCGAACTCGGACGCGCCGGCGAACGACGCCACCGAGGCACCGAAAACTCGCTGCTACGACTCATCCGGCTCCTCGTCACGTTTTCGGCTTCGGGCTGTGGGCTGAGATGGGATGAAGAAGGACACTCTCACCGGGCACCGGGGTTTTGGTTTTTGAATTGGTCATTTCATGTCCTTTCGGTCATGAGATGTCACGGGCTTTTGGATGAAGTTGCTGTGAACGGTTTCGATTTTGTTTGGGGCTAATGGGGGCTATCAGCTATTGCTCGAGTTCGAGCAAAAATACAATGGGAGCGCGGTGCATGAGGCTCTTGGAGATGGCATTTGGCTAAATCCTTGAGGCATACATCGCATTCGAAGCCCCAGTTTCGGAAGAATGGCAGAATGAGTTTTTGGAATCTCGGAGGGAAGATGAAGGAAGGAGGATAAATTCACACTGACTCTGACAGTGATGCCAAACATGCTCGAGACCGTAACCAGAATCAATGGGGCGATGCACTTCATTGGTGGAGAGTTCGCCCAGCATCGGGTTAGAGTCAGTTGGGGCGGTGGAGGGAACTCTCAGACTGACTCTAATCCACATCAGTTACGGGTAAGAGTTCGCCAGTCCAACTCACTCTATCGGAGTCTGAGTCTAGTGAGATTGTGATTCTAGGACTGGCTGTCTCTCAGCCGGCCGTGCGCCAATGATGACAGCGGGCTTTTCAGCTACAACGGCTCCCTCTTGTTGGCCCTGTTGGAGGCGACTCTGTTCAAGGATAGGACGAGAAGGACCATAAGGGCGGTCTCTCCAACGACCGCCCCGGATTGACACGGTCGACCACCAGAATCCATTCATCCAACGGCAAAGATGACAAGTTCAAGACCTCATTTTACTGGAGATGGTCATACAAAACCAATACTTAAGGAGGTAAAGACTGGGTTTTACTGGGTCAGACTGGACTTGTAGGGAAACTCTTGAGCAATTCCAAGCCATTCCGGTCACCTTCCCAGCTCACTCAGCAATGCGCAGACCGACTCGTAGAGTCGGGTCCCCCCTACCTGAAATCAATCTGCAAGGGATGCTGGCCACCCTTCGCATCGGGCACCACGGAATGCCTGGGCGCAAAACCGAAGTTCTTCAACACCTGCAGTCAGATTCCACCACTCTCACCTGCATCCATGCTCTCACACCCCTTGTCCACGATGAATTGACCGGGACCCAGGATCCTCCAAAAATTCTTGAACATCTTAGACTTGACATGACTTGACCCTCTTGGTGAGTCCACACCATCTCCTCCAACCCTTCACGTTGGTGCACTGCTTTGGCCAAACCCCAAAAAACGATCGACTTCTTCGCCCGTCTCTCCCCGCCGCCGCCAACCGCCGCCAAGGCGCGGCGTGTCTTGCTCCGGCGTGGCCGGGATCTCCTGCAGGACGACCCGAGGCGATCCTCGGGCGTCCACCGGCTCCTGGCGAAGCTCGAGGGAGTGGATGGTCCGGGGCAGTGAGGTCGGGTCCGACCCAGGACGTAGAGTGGACAGAACCTGAACTCGGAGTGCAAGCTTTAGTTGGTTGACAGTCACCAGTTTGGCTACATTGAGTCAAAATCAAGGGCCGCTGTATTCGAGCCCAAATTCAACACATGCAAGCTCTAAACATCTAGTTGGCAGGCCAAATCTGGTCTCACCAAGCTGCTTGCGGCTGACTCACCTTCTCAAAAGAAAAGAATCGACCGTTCCGTTCGCCGATTTGCCCGTCCTCCTCTTTCCGTCCATCTGCGCGGATCTGGCGGAGATCCTTGTCTTCCAAGCTCTCGGACTCGAAGCCCTGTCCACTGCTCTTCCTGGGGCTAGCCCGGAAAACGCAGCCTCCACCCTAGTAGCAATGGCCTCCAACCCGCGATGGCCTGCAACCTAGGAATGGCCAACCTAAGAGCGATGGAATGAGGAAATTGAAGGAATTAACACCCTGTGGATACCTCACGATGATCCAGCCCTGATTCCTGTCAGTCACCGAAAAGCACCGATGTGGAGCGCGGCTCGACCGTCGACGCTCGCTGGCGTGTCGTTCGGATGGGAGCAGCTTAGACCAGACAGTGGAGGCTAAGAAACGGCACTGCAGGCTCTTCCCTATTCCAAAAAGGGATAAGATAAGATCCGTTTGTGTCTGAGAGAAAGGTTTCCAGGTTTGGCAATACTGAACCGTTGGTCACGCGTTGGTGGATATTGTTTCCCAGGTTCAGAACAAATGTTTCACCACCTGGTGTATTGCAGCTCTGTGGTGATACCTTTGAAATGGATGAAATTGATGATGACAAATGTCCATCCAGGGTGGGGGGGGGGGGCTTGCAGGAAAGGCATTTCCCTTCATTCATCCTAGAACCTACTTCTATGCACCAAAGAAAATCATCCCAATGGTTCCCCTTTCGTGTGGCTCGACCCATCAGTGTCCTTCTTAGAGCCTTCAAAGCAGGACAACCAGCTGTTTCAGTACGGTCAGGCCTAAACCTCCAAACTCCAAAAAAAGCGAAAGGCACGGCAACATAGCACGTGATCAAAAGTTCTGGATCTGATTTGAGGAACAAACCAGGACTCTCACAAGTCTCACAAGGGCAACTAACTGTTTCAATATAAGTAAAACACACACACACAACATGTCACAACCAACCAAACAAAACCAAAACCAAACCAAGACCCCCCCACTGGCCCCACTTGTGCGTCGGCGTCGGCATGCTCGAGATTTGCGAAGCGTGCAGTTGCGAGGCATGGCTGGCCCTCAGCAGCTTCGCTGATTTGTGAGCCGAAGCACCAGGGGACGCGGACGTGGACGTGAACGATCGTGTCAGGGAAGACACCAACGGAAGTCATAGCCTACTAGTAACAAACGGCATCGCCGGCATCGCTACTAGGAGCAAGGACGCTACTAGTATAGCTCCTGGCCTTACTACTAGTAACAAGAAGCGCTACTAGTAGCAAGGACGCTCTTAGGTGGAGGCCATCTCTATTATAGGGATGCACGGAACTTTCTGAGAAGGCACTTGGACCCTCCTGCCGCCTACAAAAAGTGTCGAACAAATCACCCTCGTTCATCAGCACGGCTGGAGTTTTGGTTCACTTTGAGACGCCAAGAATCACGCCGGGTGGATGCGATAGAGCAAATATATATACCCTGGGAGTCAAAGACTATAAAAAGAATGGTCTTTAGGGGACCTGAAAGGGAACTTCCTTTACTCCAGCCGGTCAAAATATAGTCTTTGGACTTCTAGGGTATATATATGCGTATACGGGCAAAAAAGACCGACTGCTGGCACACTCTCTTTCATGTGCCTGAAGCTTTAAATGAAACGCTTTTGTAGTATATGCCACCCATTGCCCCAAGTGATGTCACACTCATATGCCACCTTCTGGGTCATCTACAAGATTCATGATTGAACTTAAAATCGATAGATTTTGTCAGTGTTTATCTTGATTTCGTACATCAAACAATGATGTTTGTTGATGGTGATGCTTCTCTCACAGCTGTTCCCAAAACACCTCCTCCACCACCTCCGCCACCCATCGCCACCCCCGTACCTCCGTACCTCCGCCGACGTGACGGTCCGTGACTGAACGCCGAGGGGCGCCAGGCGGTCGGAGATGGCGAACAACTGGCGATCGGAGTGCTCCAAGTCGCCGCTTTCTTTCAACTTGGACACTGACACGGCCGAGCCTGGCATCCGAAGCGTCGATCCGGAGGGAGACTGTCAACGGCCGCGCTCCAGCCGGTTTGGGGGTGCCAACAACGGCTCGTTGTGACTTGCGGGGTGGCAAACCTTCGTGGTGTTGACAGGAAAGTCACTCTGTCCGAAGGTGTAACATATATAATAAATTACAGGTATCAATTCCAGCTTCTTCAGTTCGTGACCTTTTTGGAGTCCCATCCCGTGACCGACCTGGACTCCAGGCCTGTGACCGTGCCGAACCAACCAGGGGATCAAGTTCGGTCACGAACTGAAGAACCAGGAAGGAATATCTATTCGGTCTGAAGTATCGCTAACCTCAATCCACCATGGGGGCTGGGAGCGGCTCGGAAAGCCATGCTTGTAGGATCGAGAAAGACATATGGCTCCGAAGAAGTGAGTTTGACGGTCAGAAAGCCCCAGAAGATAAGATATGGGCTAAATGGGCTAGCCTTTAGACTACTACGTACTCTTGATCACATCTAGTTCTGGGCAGACCTCTTTCCTAAGCGAACGTGCTTCTCGGGCTTCAAGGATGCGCTATCATCTCTTTCTTGTTCTACGAACCACCGCGAAGCACCACTGCTTTGGCTAACTCTCTGGAACTAGCATGGAAGTGGATGACACCCCCCTGTTGCATAGGCAAATGGTCTCCCAAGCAGCCATGACTGTAGCCATGCTGTTATAGTTCCAAGGAGTGGCCATGCCCTTCAACCAAGTGACTCAACAGCCCCTCCTCCCTCTGAAACCCGAGGACGGGCGCCGGAAAGGCCTCGATCGCTCAAGGGGTTGGACTGCAGCGAGTTGGCATGAGCGTGGCCGCCTGTTCCGGCGAGTTGGCATGGGTCGATGGATTTGGGATTTGGGAGCGACATCGGTGGTGGTCACCTCGGGGTGTGGATTTGACACCACCGAAAGAAACGACTGGTCCGGAGCACCCGTGCCAACACCAGGTCTGGTGTCCAAATCGGGTGCAGCAGGTGTAATCAGCAGCCCAGGTACATCGGCGATTCGTCGACACCAACCGCCAGGTACATGAAAAACGTCAGGTCCAGGCCGGCAAAGGAAGCCCTTTGTATTGGAAGATGGGACATCAGTTGTTGCTTTCGCGGTGGCAAAAAGACCATCTTTCGTATTTGTTTTCGGTGGTCACACCAAACTATGATCGTAGTTGATCTCTACAGCACCCATTTATGTCTTCTTCTACGATATTCAACCCTAAAGAAGGGTCAACTCGACCACCAAAATAAAGACGCCCAGATCCACAACACTATCGAATACAGCTTGTGATTACAACAACTATGCACCGGATGCAAGACTCAAGACCCTCGAATCCGCGGTCTTCGCTTTCTTTAATGGCAAGACCCTTGGCACCAAATGACCCAAAAAAAACACCCCAAAAACCCCATCTTTCGGAGTTCTCCGCCGCTCCTGGGTGTGCCAAGATGGCCATATCCGCTGTATAGCGCTCCCCCAGCTTTCGATGGAGCTCCCAGAAGGTGTCCTGACACACATCTGCATCTTCCAGAGTGATCGGGTGCAAGGGTGGAAGTTCGAGAAGGACACATTTGAGGGCATGGGGTCGGACATTGGGCAGAAGCTTCTACAAAAGCAGGTGATTGAGATTGAGCCTATTGATGATTATTTAATATTCTTTAACAGTGGGATTTGCAATTTATTTCAAAACCTGGGAAAAGTAGACCGGGCCATGGCACCAAATGAACAACACCGGATCTGAAGATCTTGACAATACCAAACACCACTCACCGAGCGATGTGTCTTTCGCTGATGCTTTGAACACTCCAAAAAAGAAGGCCTCCAACTCGGACCCGTCCTGAAGCCTCTGTGAGGAGTGGTGCTCCACAGCGCTGCCTTTGGAGCTCTTGCGATGCAACATCTTGGGGCCGTGCCTGGCCGACGGCGTCAGGACGCTACGAAGGGAGCATAGGCATCTCTACGAACGGAGCGAGAGATGAACGGAAGAAAGATGGAAACCAACGAGGTCTGTGTTTCCGCTTGGCTGAGGTGAAAGAAGGATGCAGTGGGGAAGAGGGCCGGAATGAGCCCGGTATACATCAGAGGTCCGAGAAGCGGTGACACACGTTACGTATGTTCACCGCCTCCTCCACATGTTTATGCGAAAAGAAACAAAAGTCTATACAGCAGAAGAGGTTTAACACGCTCCAAACCAGGAGCTCCTCTTCTTTCTCAAGCCTCCCGTGGGCTGCCTTCTTCGATCGCACCATCTCCCCACCTCGATCGCATCGACGCACTGGCGCTGGAGCCCGGTGCCCCGATGGAGCTCGCCAGCGTCGTGGGCGCCAGCACCATGCCCGGCACCGGCGGCGTCGGATGCATCTGCGGCGAGCGCTGCGGCGTCGGCCGCGCCTGGGGGCTCACGCCGCGCTCCATGGCGGCGCTAGAGGGAGGGACACCGGGGGACGGACGGGTCGGGAGATTCGTTGCGACGGTGAAAGACAGGATAGATCCTGAAATGTGGGAAGTTCAGCAAACAACTGCAAGCAATTGGATCGTTGAAGGCCACAACTAAGGAGGCAGGCTCTATTGAGCGGGTAACACAAAAAGCAGGTCTTAAGGGGTTTTACAGTACTCATGGTAGGGGCAGGAGTCTTGCAATGATGCACAAAAACACTTCTCACATGGAGGTCCAGGTGCTGCCAAAAAGAACAACACATTCAAAAAAAATCCGGGAAAAAAAAAACATGAAAACCTCTATCTTGTTGGTGCCTCATCCCTTCTTCGTATCTTCACACCAGACCTTTTCCCCAGCTTCGTCCCGTCTGGAGCCACAGCTGGAGCGGCAATTCGGGCGGCAAGTGTCTCATATTTGGAGGATCTGTGGAGGGGGTTGATTCACGTTCTTTGTCAAATGGAAACGGGGGAATCGAGTCACTTTCTTTATCAGCATGGTTTGCTGCTGGTGTTCTTTACTTCGGGAGGTTCACTGAAATCTATCTGCAAGGGATGGCATGAATCTAACTCCCCCAAATATCAACAGCAACTGTGGTGTTGCGTTTATAACATGTTATAACCATGCATCTAGCATCAGGAAAATTCATCCATATTATATATGAATTCAATATGAATTCATCAATGTTCATCCACAATCCAATGATCCTGCACTTTTGCCACGCAAACAAACAAGAAAACACGTCATACTATGTGGATGAAGCAAATTCAACAGTTTCTCTTGCTCCATTCGCCGGAGAAATCCTCCGATCGAGCTAACTACGGTGGCGGGAGCCGCTGATCTTGGACCATGTTCCAAGGCGGTTTGGGGCGAACTGGAGTCCCACCCCCCAGCCCCCCCCCAACCCCCCCCAAGCTCTCAATTCAATCGATCCATCCACCGACACCGAAGGAACCGCGGCTGTTAAACGTACGACTTGGCCCGCGCGCGCGCGCACGCACCACGGGTGGGCGCCCCGGACGGTGACGCCCAGCGACTGCGTGAAGAGTTCCGCCACGGCCTCGGAGGCCTGGACCGGCAGTCGGATGCGAAAACCGAGCTGAGCTAGTCCCAGACACTCCATGGGACTGGTATATTTGCCGATCAGTTGGGGTGGTGCCAGGGGGGTCAATTGATGGGCATATAGGGCAGTTACATGGGTCGTGTCTGGGAGTCCTTTTTGGAAAAAATCACCCAAATGTCCACGGTGACCACAAATCATTTGTTCACAGGCTTCACCTCAATTGTTCACAATGAGTGACCACAATTCAACCGGTCATGTTCATTTTTGGGACCAATCATTTTGGGACAGAGCGGTGACCTATATAGTATCGGTGTCCGTCCCTATAGGATTGCATGCTGGTCGGTTGAAGGACAAATCAATCAATGGAGGTGTCCCGGTGGTTTTCTTTCGTGCCTTTTGTTGAGTAGATCAATCATACCGACCGGGTCAACAAAGAAAGAACACTTCTTCAGAAGGAACACATAGAGACATCCACGTTGTTTTTGAACTCTGTTTTTCCAACCACGGACCCATTTCGTGTCCCAAACCTCTACGTTTACGTACCTGGACCCTCCAAAGTACCTTTGAAAATGGGGCATGACCCCATAAAAACACAGTACTAGTACTTCCACCCATTTTCCGAGGTACGAACGGGTCGACTCCAGGTAGGTACGAACGGGTCGACTCCAGGTATACCTGGGCCTGGATTTCCACCCGGCACTTGCCCAGCCCACGACGCCCGCCTTGAGCAGATCGCTCGCGGCGAAGTGTTCGGCCTTGTGATGTGCCAAGTAACCTGACCGGTCACGGACTCGAACGGCTTTCCTTGATCCGTCCCCGGTTCCGAATGCCGCCAGGATCGTGGATGACCCCCCGGTGACCCGGTGACCCGGTGGATCGTCCGCAACCGGGGTCGAACGCACGGAACGGCACGAGGAACGAACGTGACCTACGAGTTCCTCGTGGTTGGCTTTGGATCCACTGCGCAAACACGGCCCTTTTCCGCGACGTCGGGACGCGTGCACAGGATCTTGAGTTCGTGAGAAAGGCAAGTATCTCCAGGCAAGATAGGCTCATTTCAAACAAACACCAGCTGAAGATGGCAATCAAAACCACCTGGTTGTACCGGTTTTCGCCGAGGCACGTTCGAAGTAATGAGCCTCGGTCAGACTGTGAGCATGCTTCTGGTATGGCTAAAATTTTCAAAGGCCAAACAAAAATGAACCCAGGACAAGCAGGATGTTACATCCTGAGTCAGCTAGCCTATATCGTTTGTTAACCCCAAAGGGCAAATAGTTTGACCACTGATCTGCATGCACTCCTCCCACTTCACATGGATCAAAACATATCAACGCATGCCAGAAAATGAGTTGGACCCAAAGCTGAAAGGTCACAAGTTCCCAGGGAATGTTACAAGATTTACAAGACCAAATTGCTTATAAAACAATTTCCTACAAGCATCAAAAAGAACATCTGTTGATCTCTTTTGAAGTTCCATCGCTTTTTCCAAGTGGCGTAGCGCAGTAGCTCATGCTTCGACGCTGCCTGGCACGAGTCCGAGTCCAATAGCTTCCACCCACCCCATGGACTGTTTTTAATTCTTCATGTGGTTTTTCCCCAGATAGCGAAGCTATGGGGTTCTTACTTCAAATAACAATGAGTTGCCCGTGCGCGCTTTCGAGAGTGCTGTGAGCTGGCTGTGCATGCGGTGGAGACAGGTTGCTGGTGCTAGGTGCGGTGCTGGTGCTGCGAGCTGGAGACAGGTTGCTGGTGCTGGAGCTGGGTGCCGGTGCTCCGGTGCTGGTGCTGGTGCTGCGTGCCGGTGCTGGTGCTGTGAGCTGGCTGTGCACGTGGTGGAGACAGGGTGCCGGTGCTGGTGCTCGGTGCTGGCTGTGCGCGTGGTGGAGAGAGGGTGGTGGGTGCCGGTGCCGGGTGCCGGTGCTGGATGCTGGGTGCGCGCCTGGTGGAGAGGATTTTTTCCCGAGATAGCGACAGCTATGGGGTTCTTATTCTTTAAAAACAATGAGCTGGCTGCGCGCGCTTTCGAGACAAGGTGCCGGTGTTGGGTGCCGGTGCCGGGTGCTGGTGCGGGCTGTGGTGCTGGTGCTGGGTGCTGTGAGCTGGCAGTGCGCGCGGTGGAGACTGGGCGCCGGTGCTGGGTGCTGCCTGTCCACTTGGTGGAGACAGGGTGCCGGGTGCTGAGTGCCGGGTGCTAGGGGTCCCGGGTGCTGGTGCTGAGTATACCGGTGCTGGACGCTGGTGCTGGGCGGCGGTGTTGTGGTCCTGGGTGCTGGGGCTGTGAGCTGGCTGAGCGCGCGTTTAAGACGGGCGGCGGCGCTGGTCGGGTGCTGGCGCCGCTGCCGGTGTTGTCAGCTGGCAAAGCGCACCGGTGCTGGTGTCAGCTGGTTGTGCGCGCTGTGGAGGTGCCGTAAGCTGGCTGTGCAGGCTGCGTACATTCTTGTTCCAGCCAGGTCGTGGGATTCTGCCTAGCTATCTGGGTCTATGCTGGTGTAATTCATTCTTCATGTGGTTTCAAACGTGTTTTCGGGCTGCCGTCGTTACTTCCACTGGTTTTGAGCCATTCAGCGCCGAACCGAACGTGTGGGGCTCCCAGGGTCGAAACCTGGATCTGGCGGGTTACGCGGCGAAGGACGCACAGGACGCCCAAACCAGTCGCTCCACTCTCTGCGGAGGGAGGAGGTCTCCGCGACTGACTCGTCTCCCGAACCTGGCCTTTCCCACCACGTCCTCTTCGACCCTGCAGAGCCGGTTGCGTGGCCGGCGGTTGCGGTTGCGGAGTGACAAACAGGGCGGTTGGTCGTGCGAATGGAGAGCCCCTAATTAGAGGTGATTCCTTCAGGGTGTCCATGAAACTACCCCGAGGTCCTGGGGGTCCTGGTAGTCAGAGGTTATTTCAAGAATTGAAATCGGAGTCTCTGTCCTCATCACCTTTGAGATCTGGTTTGTTTTGGTGCGGCGTTTCGGCCCTTTAGGAGGCAAGGCAACAAAATGAGCGTAGACGGACGGATGAACAGAATAAGGAAAGTGCTCCATCTATGGGGGAGTCCTGGCATTCCAGTTGCTTGGCCTTAGTTGCTTTTGGCGGGTTTGATCAGCGGTTTTCAGAGTTCTGGCCTCAAAACAAGCAGAGAGGTCTACATGTGAATGAATGCAGTTGCTCCACTTGTATCTACAGTACATGGGTCTTGCTTCGCAAAACCTAGTTGACAAGTTCAAGTCACGCTTATAGAGACTCTTAGTGAATGAACGTGTCTATCTATAAGCCTTATCTGTGGTGGTTCAACATCCCCCAAGACATCCCTCTAAAGATCGATGCTCAGCTTGAAGAGAAGCTCTTGGTCACGGAACCTGCGTCACACACCACACCCGCGTTCTTGCGGAACCCGTGCGCACGCGCTTCGTCCGCCCCACCGCCCCGCTTGCTTCGAACCGAGCCACGCGTTGCACTGCCGGTGGTCATTCCATTTCTTCATGCCTGGATGGACTATGCAGACCGTGGTTCGACTCGTTCCAAAGGGGATCCGGGCGACGTGGTTTGTTTCGAAACGAACAGCATGACGGAACCCCACGACGTGGGGTCCATGAGTGTTGTCCATGAGTGTTAAGCGGTAGGGTAGTCAGTGGGATCAATCATTTCAACAAAGTAAGTAAAGATTCAAAACCACCGCCACCCAGCTGTATGTTTGCTACAGCCAGGTGTCCCCAAAAGGAAGGTGCTGGTGTGTGTGTCTGTGTGTGTGTTTGGTTCTTTGATGACAAAAACCAAGAGGGAGTTAACAATCAATGCAGCAGGCAAGCTTGACATGGCTGTAGTTGACGCATGTTGCCCTTGGATTTGCATCTCGTCAAGTTCGATTTGCATGTCACCCTTCCTAGAACAAACACAGCATCCACCTGCACCCACATAGTAAAGGCGAATAATTGTCAAGCCCAAATCATTCTTTAGGACTTTAGGGTATATACAATGCTATAAAATCCACTCCTGACAAAAATATAGTTATATACCCATATATCTTATAACTATAATGTCATTTAGGGTTAACTTGTGGGGTGGAACAAAAGAAAAAAAGCATCTGGAAAGAACACCCGTTCGCGCATAAGCTTAGTGGTAGACTCACAGTGGTAGACCTGTCAACTGGACTCCTGGAGCCACTTGGTCTTCCCCACGCCGCACACCGCTGAACCTCCCCGTCGCAAAAACGCTGGCGACTTGTGACTCGTCACAAATCCAGCAGAATTCGTGGCCACAACCTCCGGGCTTTCGACACGTCATGTGCCTCGGCAAGAGGTGCAAGTTCGGGATTGAATAAGTCCAACAACTGATTGGCTGAAGGTGGCACCAAAGATAGAAAGAAAAAGATAGAAAACTTATTGAAGCAAAGATCAGCTCACATGCAGCCTCCATTCTTCTCCTTGGTTCATTCGGAATAAAGACTGCGCGAACGCGTTGGCCGCGCGTTGGCTGAGATACGACACCCGGTAACACCGAGCTCGGCTGGAAGACAGAGAAAGTTCGGGCAACAAGCTCGGCTGTGTTGCCAGTGTCTTCTCTTTCTTCTTGAACTGTGCGGATATGGAGTAAAAAAGTAAGTGGTTCTTTTCATGGTTCTTATATGTTATGTCTTCTTCATATAAGCGACCATGTAGACGGATTCATCAACAACAGCATCCCAACCCCAAACCGGAGCTGATCACACGCTCGCCTCTATGCTGAAAAGAACCACTCCTCAGGTCGATCGATCTGTCCGGATCTGTACCAGGGCCCAGCCCTGGAAGAGAGCCACATGGTTTTTTCTGTACACCCACTGGGCGTGTATCTCGAGGAAAATGAGCTCAGCCGGCATCGTGACGAAGACGACGACTCGCGACGAGCGACTCGCCAGTATCTCGTGTTTTTGGCGCTACAAACCACGGGAGGCCGGCATCGCTTGGCGCAGAACATCGCTGCAACCGACATGTGCCGTGCGGAATAGATCGAGGAACAATACCTAAGCCTTCAGGGGAGGTGTCCTGACCGTGGTGAATGGAAGATCCCTGGAAGGGGGGGTGTGACGGGGCGTTCAGATTCGTCTTCCGTTCATGGTTCAGATTCGCTCATTTTCCCGGGTGTCGTCCGGATGGTCCCATTCAGGCCGCTTCCTTCGAGTCCTTCGACACCAACACCATGGTCGTAGATGACGGATGGTCTGGTCATGTGGAGCAACGAGCTATAGGAAAAATGCTCAAACACACGTGACGCGATTCATTTCCAAAAGCTTTCGAAGTGTCTCAGCACAGCTATCTTCGATGCATCAGTCGATGTATCTTCAAGATCTTCAAAAGCCCAAGTGGCAATGGGATTTTGGCACTTGGGGCAGAGCTTGGTATTTGCCTTGATCCACACCACATCGCAACCTGCCAAGGGCAGCCACTGGCCAGTTGTGATAATAATCTAGCGCCAAATCCTCCCATCTCAACGTTGATGAATAAACACCCCCCCCAAGACCGACCCTACATCAACATTTACATGCTTCATCGTCGGTCTACCATTCCCCAAAACCCCACTGCCTCACCGCAAGTCCATCACCTGCCGAACACCCTGCCTCGGGGCGCTCAGACTCCGAACACCCTGCCTTCCAGCCACCGAAACCCAACAACATCGAGACGGTGAGACCTTCAACTACACAGTTCCAACCCAAAGAATACATCACACCCACCAGCACCCGACTCTACAGGTCTCCGACCTTGTAGACTTTTCCAAGTCGCGGGTGGTGACCTGTTGGAAGGTCCTGGTAAATGGCCATACATACGAAGACTTCATGGCCCATGAAAGAAAAGCGCTGTCACCCAGAAAACCAGCGCTGTCCAGCACCTTCATCGCGGTTCTTCTCCTCCCAGCGCTTCACCGTGTCGCAGGTCACCGGGCGATGCACGTCGTTGCCGCAAAGGAAGCACCAGTCCGTGCCACAGCTGCGACAACTCACCTGCCGTGCGGACTAAGACAGCTGCATCCACACAGCGAGCAGCGGTTTTAAGAGCCGCGGTATAGAGACATTCAACTTATCTCCTAGTAAACACAGCTGCATTGGTATCAAGCTTCTCTTCACCAAACATGGGTTGCAAACCTTTGAGGCCAAAAGCCTTCAGACCAGTTCGCCTCGTCGGCGCCTCCCCTCCCGCCTCCGCGCCCGCCGCGCCCGGATGCTGGGCGGCCGCGCGGCAGCGCACGCCGGGGCACCAGCGGAGCTTGCCGCGGGAGTCCTCGTCCGGCGGACGAGGACTCCCGATGAGTCATGGAGGTTCCGATCCCAGATGCGACGATGGGCGGGTTGGGGCGGGTTGGCGGGTTGAAACCAGACTGCAGGAAAGGATTCGCACGATCTGAAAAATATTGCAGAATTTGCGCCGCCTTTGGGCTTGTTATAGTGATGAAAGGGCACAGATATTCTGCATAGTTCGAAGATCCAGGTACTTAAATGTTTGGGATGATCATTGTTGTTTCCGGGCTTCGGGCACACAACAAATTAAATGTGTTTCGTTTGTGGTGCCAAAAATCACTTTTGACTTTGATTTTGTTTTGGGGTGTGCTCTTTTGTTGTTGGTAGCTTTCCCCCGCTGCAACTCCCAGGCTGGCATAACCAGTAAGAATGATCTTTGTTTGGCTTTTGCATCCTTGAACTAGCAAGCAGCATGCTTGCGTTTGATCACTTTGTCTTCCAATACAACCCTGGCCAGCTGGGCAAACACCTATGTTACTGCTGATGGTTGTTACGACTGCTGCTGTTGCTTTCGATTGTTGTTTACCCATCCCTTTCCCTTGTTTGTTCCAAGGTTTCGCAGCTTCACTACCAGCACCTTCAAAGGGGTCACCACTGGAAGACCCTATACTACTCATGGATCTCCAGACGGGACACCCCTGGGAAGATCCAGGTATCATGATGTGGATAGTGTTTGCATGTCAGGAAATGAAAATACATGATCCAAAAACCCGTTTCTCTGTGACAAGCCATTCGTTTCAACGGCCATGCCAACTCGATCCAAGCCGCATCCACCAAGCTCTCCGTGAGGAAGCGCTGATAACGCTCCAAGAGGGGTGCTTCCAGCAAGGCCATGAAGAGCGACGGGCGGACCAACTCCTGGTGCATCCACCAAGGAACTAAGGATTACTCATCAATGAGTGTTGAAGGTAAGTCACACATAGAAACATGCCCACTTTCACCGTCCACATTCGGTCCTTGCAGCTAGGTGCCGGGCATCTCAAGTCCAGGCAGCCTTGCAAAAAGACTGGTCTGTCTGGGATTGGCATATTTACCTGTATTGGGGTGGTTGGGCCCGGGATCAATGTATACTAAATTCTAATACAAACAATACATGGAACATCTGGTCATTCTGCTTGGGGTTTGTGAGCAACACCACAGCCGAAGTTCCCCCCACATTCCTGCCCCCCCCAGCAACACAACGGCCCCACCGCGATTTGCACCACGTGAGGCGTGCTTCGCGCAGGCCTTTCCCTTCCAGGACGGCGCCCCTCAAGTACTGCCGCCAGCAGTTCCGGCAGAACAGCGCTTGGTCGGAGACCTTCGACTTCTGGGGGGGGTCGAAGAGGATCGACAAAGAAACACATGTTAAAAGCGAAGACGGATGTATATGACCCAAATCAAAAAAAAAATATGGTAACATCTTCTAGGATCATGGGTGAGGGTTTTGAGCTCTGAGCGAAAGTCGGGATGCAACATGTGTTCTGTCTTTGTCCACTGCAGTCCATGGTCAAGTGCAGATTCAGAACAAGTGTCTTTCTATGTTTCACAACATGACAACATTGGAAGTATAACAGTACACAGTATAACGGAATAAAAAGAGAAAAACACATTCTCAAGCTGCCAGGCGATTAGGATGCTCCGAAAAAAAAAAAAAAAGAAGGGCCCTTTTCCTTGGAGAAGCGGGGCAGAGACTCGGACGACGTGCTCCATGCGTTACGGATTTCTGCGAGTCCTTCGAGTCCTTCGAGTTGTGTCGTCAGGGAACTGGGGGGCAGCAAACTGGGGACAGGGAACTAGGACCTCAACTGGACCTGATCCAAAAATACGTGGTCAGGACCAGGTGGATCCCACTGGACTTGGGAGATGTTTCGATTCTCCGGTGGAACTCTCTCCTTTGCTTGGGGGTTGCCGGTCCCAACGAAAGAACTGTCTTTTCTGGCGATGCTTCAGCGACAGGCCGAACCTTTGGGGTGTTCTTCCCCGCCTGGCAAGGCATGAGACTCTCTCCAGGCTCCGAGAAGCAAATGCCACAGAGGATCGGCCTAGGTGGAGCTGAAAGCGGCCCCCTGGACCATTGGCGGCGATGTGTGGCCAAAAGAACCTGTCCTGTGATGCTGGTGATGCCAATTTGTGATGTGCTTCAATGACTTATTTTGGATCGAAGGCATTAGGGTGGTATTACTGTATCATTGAATTCGCTATGTTTCAAACATGTCCCACACCTACGGCGCTTGGTGTTCCGCCCTGCCATTAGACTCCTTTAGATAGACTCACCACAGATCAAATTCACCAGACCAGTCGCACCAATCAGAAGTCACGAAAACAGAAGCCGAGAACCAACGACACAAGCCCTAGGGCTCCAAGTACCTCCTCAGAAGGTACTTGGAGCCCTATAGGGAAGATGAATCATCAATCCGAATCCTCAGCGAATCTCACCGAAATTCCGGCGGAGCCCGGAAATTCCTCCCGGTTTCAGCCCAGATCGCGGATCCAAGCGAACTCAGGTGTCGGGAGGTGTCGCCAAAAGAAACAGGAACTTCTCAGACCATCCATGTATGGAAGAAGCTACGAACGGAGCGATCAGGGCATCGCTACAAGTTAGGAGCGATCGGACGCTACTACGTTCCGGGGCTCTCCTGGCCGGAGCGATCAGGGCATCGCTACCGAAGAGTTGCAGGACCATCCATGACCTGGGACCTAAGGAATCCGGTGTTTGACCACCTAGGACCACCTAGGACCATCCGGTATGGAAGAGTTGCAGGACCATCCGGACCATCGAGCCGTTCGTGACCGTCCTTGAGCTCCCGTTTACGAGGCCGCGAAAGGTCACAGGCCACAAACGGAGCAGAGACTCCAGTTCGAGGTCACGAATGGCTCAGGTCCTGGTACATTTACATACAGTCTATACATACATATATGTCACCCCAATGCAAGTAACTCTCCCAGTCCCAGTCCGATGGTTGTAACTCGCTTCCGGGTGACCCATCAGAGGACATGAGGACGTCCTGCGGAGCTGTCGAGCACTCCGACAGCGGGGCGGAGAAGCGCCGACAGCGTGTCGCGGGGAGGAGATTCTCTGAAGAAGATGTTCTCGAGGTCTTGTTGAAGAGAACTTATATATTGAGGTCTTGTTGTTAAATCTTTTTGGAGTGGAATGAGGTGAATCGTTAAATGAGGTCAGGTCTCTAAGTCTTGTTTTGGTGCAACACATGATCCTTTTTTTGCGTGGTTCTTGACAGTAGGGATTTTGCATGATTTTACAATGAGTTGGATGACAACACCCAGATCAGGTCGTTGGCCTGGAGCTCTGTTGAATAGGCATGATGTGCTGGAACACGAAACCTCTCACTTGCTCAAGTATCCCAGCATTACATTTCACAACATGCAAACATAGAATACGCCTTATCTGCTGCATGTCGTCAGATATGGAACGCCGCATGTGTCATAAGGAAGCAAAAAGATAGGACATAAAAGAATTAGCCCAGCTGGAGACCCCAATAGCAAGATACAAACCGGGACAAAAAGAAAAATCTCGAAACAGCTGCTGTTTTCAACACATCGACCATCTCTTCCTTGGACACCATCATCACATAACCGGGACACCATCACAAAATGACCAGGGCACCATCAAAACATGACCGAGACACCGTCACAACATGATTGGGACACCATCACAACAACACCATCACAAGGTGACCGGGACACCAGCATGACATGACGGGGACACTATCACAACATGACCGGGACACCGTCACATGACCCGGACACCATCAAA